TGCAGCATCGGCCTCAGTGCCCGTAGCCTGTAGACTGCCATCGTCCACAACAACGCTGATGGTGAGCGACGGCCACAAGGTGTAGACCTGGTCGTACGCGCCCCAAGTGAAAAGGATCATCATGGTGGTGGCATCCGAGCACCCTGCGATGACGCCTTGGTTCGTGGAAATGAATCTTGAAGCGATCTTCCCAAACTTGAGGCATCTTTGACCACCATACGTCTTGATGAGCATCGCCAAGCGCCTTTTGGGAAACTTGTGCCTGCAGCCAATCTCCCACAATAAGGCATGCGATATCTTCTCGAAGGCTTTCTTCAAATCAAGCATCACAGTGACCGTGTGTCTCATCAATGCTCGTCCCGCTTCTGCCATGACTGACTGAGTCCACACCGCGCGCTCCGAACTGCGCCCTGCCGTGGCGTAGTGGTAAGGCCGAGCATACTCTTGAAGCCACCGCCGTTGGACAGGTCTTCTGCATCTGTTGTAGACTCGGAGCGTGTCGGTCATAAGGCCGATCAACCTGTGACCACCTTCAGGCTTGGGTAAACGCGGGAGTACTGTATTCTTCATCTGCTTGGGAACCTCCGCAATACGTTCCGCTACCTCCATAACAGAACTGAAAGCTTGCAAGCAGTCGTCGGATAACAGCGCCATATTCCTGGGCCCAAGGTTGTCGATGCCCGAGGCCGTCTTCACTTTGAACGAAAGCGCTGCCTTGCGAATCTGCTCAACTTCCAGAGGTTCCATTTGATCATCCATCTGAAGTTGGGATAAATGTAGGCCGGCTCCAAAAGAGCTTGCTGCAGGATCATGATTCCATATCTTAAGCCACTGCTGCAGGTCCGCGTCGAGTGTAGTAGCATGTGACTTGATGCCCGTGGCAGGATGAACTTCTGCTTGCGTCCACAAAGTTGGTAGCTTACTCCATCTGTGTGCCTTCGACTGCTCCTGCTCGATGGACTTAGCTACCGCCTGCCGCCACTCCTTGACCCGCTGCTTTGAGTACAGCTGCTCGAGCTTGGTGGCTTCCTGCGCTGCAAACCAACTGCAATCCCGTATCCATTCATCCTCCCAACTCCATTCATAGTCGAGTCGGTACCAAAGGACAAACCAGGAACTGCCCATGTCCAAGTTCTTGCGCCTCAACTTGCGAAGGGTCTGAAGCCGCTGCTGAATGAATTGCGAGTCCAGCTCCCACTCCCTCTTGAGCGCATGAAGAAGGTCCTGGAATGCCATGGCCGCCCTTCTCCAATTCCGTGAGATGGGGTCTCCTTCAGCGCCTCTACCTGGTGCTTTGCGAGCCGCTGCCACCAGCTTGAACTGAGGCACATGTAGCTCACCCCGTCCAGCTGCAGCACGTCGCTTGTTGTCAGGAAGGTGATACCGATCTGCCAACTCCGCCTCAGCCATCTGAGCCCACGTCTGAAAGCGCCAGTCGAGGTCCTGAGCTTCACGTGCATGATGGCACTCATCATGTACTTGGTCGTACGATGGAGGTGGACGTGGAGCGCCAAGCGGACAATCGTTGGGAAACTTCCGCGGCATCACGATCTGCTGCTCCATGGCCGCGCCAGGTCCTGCTTCTAGCTCAAGCAAAACTCCCCAATGCGTTGCTAGGCTGAGGCCCTCCAGTCGTCGCACTCCCGTGATCAAGCTCTTGAAATGCTTGGAGACCACAAAGAAATCTATAGTTCGTCCACGTCCTGCTGAGCACGTCCACTCAAACGGAGCTGCTATGGTAGCTGGCATGTCATTCAAAACATTGAGCTCCTCCAGGTCGAGCGGACTCATGTTCCAATCACCTCCAATGATGAAAGGGCGTCCCAGTCTCTTGAGCTGCTCAAAACATTGCAGGATGATCTGCCTATTGTTGTCCTCCACGTCTTTGTGCTGATTACCTGAGATGAGGTAGATCGAGGCCAGAATGAAGCCACCAGGGAGCATGCCATCGATCCACTGTGTTGTCCATCTTGAGGTCGGGGGTGTAACGCCACCCATGTCAGGTGGAGCTGCTGAGCCGATATCTTGTCGAACTCCGACTGCCACTCCTGACGATGCTGATGTGGCTGTGGTGCCCGGCTTGGCTGGGGAGATGTGGAAGTGCCAGCCCTGATGCTTCAGCCTCACCACAGTGTCCCCCACCGCTGGTTTGAGCAGCTTGTGCTCCTGGATGAGCAGGGCATCAGCATCGACCTCGATCTCTACCACCTCCGCTGCGATCTTGGGCAACTTCGCCGCCTCCTTCTGCGCTGAGGTAATGTTGGCAGTGACAATCCTCCACGTGCGCACCTTTGTAGTCACCACCTCCTCTGGTCGGGCCTGACTGGGGAGGCCGACACCACAGTTGCGGCAGGTCCGCTCAGCACTCAAGGCGTCGCTTTGATTCTGCGCCGACGCCAAGTTTTGCTGAGCTGCAGTCCGCACTGGCATACCTCCCTTGGGAGGCGACGAGGTGTTCCCAAACGGGCCTGTGCCCCAAGACGCGGGGCCCGAGGGTTCATGGTCGTCGGCGGCACGAGGGGCACACTCCCCGACGCCAATCCCCCCAGGGCCCCCGTCAGCCTCTTGAGGCTGAGTCTGGCGAAGCGACCCAACCTGCTCAAGACTCCCCAAGACAGCACCTCGGGGGTTCGGGAGCTTCTCTGGCTTGGATTCTATATTAGAACCACCACTCTGAGATAGCACCAAAGTATCTGCATGCAGCTGTGCAGCTCGTGGTGCAGGTGGTCCAGCTGGATCCTCAGGGCCAGCTTCATCATCTTCATCTTGTTGGTCCTCAGTTTTGACCCCAGCATCGTCCTCAGTTTTGACCCCAGCATCGTGTTGGCCATCTTCGCTTGGGAGTTCAACTGTTGGCCGATACCGAGCCGCATCAATAGGCGGGGCCCGACTCTCACGTATCTCTCGGCGAAATAGACGTTGAATATCTCCCAGCTGCTGCCAGTGTAGAGCTATGACCCTGTCCCATTCGTTGAACGTGTCCTGCGACTCCAGCCAGTCCAGGTACTCAAGGAAGTTGGCTCTGTTATTGCTAGACTGCACCCATGCCATGTAACAATAATTGCGAGCAGCTTGGCTGAGGTGAGCCTCATCCCGAAAATCTGCAGGTGATTGCTGCCTGAGCTTCACAACTGCGTACTGCCCGCACATGTCCATCCACTCCTCATATCCTGAGGAATCTGAAGCAAGTGAGGGAACCCATCTGCATGCTGCTGACATCAGTCCTTCGCGAAAGATGTACTGTGGCGTGTCAGGATCCACGGGCGGTGGCTTGCCCATCGCACACGGCTCCCCTGACACCCAAACGATGCCGTCGTAGATGTTGAGCGAACAGATAAGAGCTCCAAACAACTCTGCATTCTGCTCTGAAACAGCACCGTCAACCACACCACTGCCAGAAACTGCACGTATCTGCATGGCTGACTGTGGTACCAAAGAAGGGATGGCCGTCGAACTCCCAACTGCCGCTCTGAGTGAAAACGCCACTGTCGAGCCGAGCGAATTGAGGCAGTCCAACAGCTGAAGCGCCTGGTACCTCTGCGAAGGTGGAGCCGACAACAGCGGCGCCATCTGCTGGAGCGTGAGCTGCGTCTGGCTCACTATCTGCTGGAAGTGGCCCCAGCTGCCAGCTTTCGCAAAGCCCTCAGTGGGTGTCTGCTGCAGCAGCTGGGGCCCCGACCCTGCGCCGCTTGGCCTTCTCAGCAGCTGAGGCCAGCTGCTGGCGAATCCTCTTGCGGGCTTCGTTGATGCGCTGGATCTCGGCGACGTCGTCAACCCCGTCCAGCTTGAGGCCCTGCTCGTTGTACAGGTCCTCCAGGTCCTCGTCCTCGGGCACTGGGATGTCAAGCTCGGGTCCAGCACCCATGCCGACATCACCTGCACCACTGCCGCCGCCGTCACCAGGAGGAGCGGTAGGCTGCTCAGCCTGAGCGCTCTCCTGCTGGGCCCTCCTCTTCTCGGCCTCCTGCTTTTGGTACTGCTCCAGCGCCTGCTGAAGAGCCTGCATGGGCCCTCGCAAAGGCTCAGGAACTTCGCTGTCGCTGCCTGCCAGCTGAAGCTCTGCGAATCGTCCACAAAGCTGCAGGGCTGGATTGGCTGCACCACTGGCCTGCTCCTTGAGGAAGGCGTCGGACTTCGCCTTCTCGAGCTGCTGCTTTTTGTGCTTGTGATTCTCCAGAATCTGCTTCTCTGCGTCACGACTTGCCAGGGCGCGCTGGTACTCCTCCTCGCGCTCCTTGAGCCGCTCCTCAGACTTCTGAAGCTTTTTGTTAGTGTCTTCCAGCCTCTGGCCCAGCTGGAACGAAGTGAGCTTTGTGATGTCGACGGGCTGGTCGGACGCCTTGACAGACATCGCCTTGTCCCACTGCACCACCATGCTCTTCGCCTGCTCTGGCCAGAGCTTCCGATCATCTCCGTGTGCCTTGACCATGGTCTCAAGGATCGCTTTCGCCGTTGCCTGATCGACCATAGGTTGAGCAGCAGGGGCTGGCGAGGCCTGGGTCTGGCTGATGGAGCCTGCCCAGAGAGAGGCTGGCGGTCCGTCCGCCCACCTGTTCTTCGCCTTCTGCCAAGGGGGCTGGCTCTTGCCTCCACCCGCTGCTCCCTGATTCTGCTTTCTCTGCTTCTCCAGCACTCCTTTTGGCGCCTGCTTGCCGCAGCGCAGGCAGTGGGTGCGGTGGGCATAGTTGGCGAACGCTGTGCCATACACCCTCGCGCAGTTCCCACAAGGCCAAGAAGGGTGCCTTGCCGCCATCCGTGGCCCGCCCGAGCGAGCCGCGTCGAAGTACACTCGGGCAAGCCCAGTGCGCCTGGGCCGACACGGCTGGAGGAGGAGCGAGGAGGAGGAGGAGGAGGAGGAAGAGGAGGAGGAGGAGGCAGCGGCACCTGCAGCCGTGCCCCCCCCGAGCACCCCGGCGACCGGCGGCGGGCGACGGGCGCCGGCGCAGGCGCGGAGCGGGCGCGCGGCGGCGCGCGGCGCGCGCGCGGGCCGAGCGGCGCGCCCGCTCCCCCACGCCGAAGCCACCCGGGGGCGGCCTGGGCGGCGCGCCTGCGGGCGGCTTGCCTGCGGGCGGCGCGCCGCGCGCCGCGCGCCACGCACGCCCGCCGTGCCCCCGTCGGCCCGCCGTGCCCCCGTCGGCCTCGTCCCTCGTCGGCCTCCCTCGCCCCCTCCCCGGCGTCGGGCTCCCTCGCCCCCGCTCCTCGCGTCCCTCCTTCGGCCTCGTCCCCCGTCGCGCCTCCCGGACATCCCAGCGCGGATCCAAGACATCCGCGCGGAGCGCCAAAAGTTCATGTTTATGGCGTTTGTTCTAACTCGACGACTCTCTCGCACGCCGAGGATCGGCGCCGAGCGCAGCCCTTCGAGCCGGAGGCAGAGAGAGGGCGCGGGCAGATCGACAAGCCCATGATGGGCCTGCTTTTCACCACCACCACCACAAGTGGGAGGGGGAGGGGCTCCTCCTCCTCCTCCTCCTCCTCCTCCTCCTCCTCCTTCCCCCCTCCAACTTGTGGCGATGGTGGTGGTGGAAAGCGGGCCCGTCAGAGACCCTTCGTCCTCTTCTTCGCCCTCCTCCTCCTCCTCCTCCTCCTCCTCCTCCTCCTCGTCCACCTCCCCCTCATCCACCTCCTCCTCGTCCACCTCCCCCTCCACCTCCTCCTCCTCCCTCCTCCTCCTCCTCCTCCTCTCCTCCTCCCCCTCCTACTCCTCCTTCTCCCTCCTCCCTCCTCTCCTCCTCCCCTCCTCCTCCTCCTCCTCCTCCTCCTCCTCCTCCTCCTCCTCCTCCTCCTCCTCGCACACAGCGCCCGGAGATCCTGCGTATCTCCATGCCCTGGCGGCGCGCACAAGGGGGTGGAGGGAGGGGGAAGGGCTTCTCAGCAGGAGGCTGCATCTTAGAAGGCGCCGGCCTCACATCTGCAGATGAGGCCCGTGCCTTCTGAGAAGCAGGGGTGCTTCTAAGAAGCCCTCCCCCCTCTCCCCACCCCCCTCTGCGCGTGGCTGACACACAACGCACGGAGATCCTTTGTATCTCCATGCCTGTTCGATCGGTCCCGCCGTTGGAAGCTCTCCCAGCGCAACCTGCTCAGCTTGGCCACGCTCGAGCAGACTGCGGACATTCCGAAGAGGGGGGAAGGCAATATCCAGAGTCGAACGGGCAGTGGCAGAATTGGGAAAGAGATTCGAGGCCAGCATGGGAGCGACCGAATCAAAGATCGAAGACATCGAGAGCCGTCCCACGAACCTGGAGAACACCGATCCGAGGACACCAGAGGCTTCTCATGCGGGATTCCAGACAAGCGAGGACATCTGGAACCACATCAGGGCTTCGGAGAACGAGCTCGGGCAGCTGAAGATCACCCCCTCCATGGACAAAGGGACGGCAGAGAAGGACAAGGCGGTGGTTTTCGGGAGGGTACAATAGTCAACAAATCTAGGAGAATGCACGATTTCAATGGAAGACACATTGTGGAACGGCTACGGGCTACGGCCCACAAGCCGGGGAAGGCTTACGTGAAGCGCGAGGTCGGCGGGACTGGCAACCCCGTTTGGGCAAAACCTCCTCAGGCCCTTCCTCCGCGTGTGCTCACCTCCTCCGTGTGCGGCGCGAAGCCCCTCCTCATGCAGTGGGGGGGCCGGCCGCGGAGGCTGTGCGGGCGGACCCCGAGGCCAGCAAGGTGTGGTCGGGCAGCGAGGCCGCCGTGCATGACACCGCTGAGAACGGGAGCCTCAAAGTGGCGTACGGCAGGGGGCGGAAGGGTCATTGCGCCGGCCTCGCAGACGTGCTGCAGCGGACCTGTGCGTGGATTTCTGCGTGGATTCCTTCCCAAAGCGGCGAGCGACAAACGGCCTGAATGTCGCGTGGATTTGCTTCGTGGTCTTCAGTCCTGGCCAAACACAAATCCGCGCGAAATGCACCTCGAAATCCGGAGCGCAATTCTTCAGGACACCCCGAGCCCCCCTATCGTTTTCCGAACGAAATCCGCTCTGCGATGTTGGCGCCGTGGGCAAGAGTGGTTCACAGATCTGGCGTTCCCTGACCTCCCCAACCTCATCGCCAAGCTGTCCCGCAACCTCGAAAAGTTGAAGGGGCCCAGGGACACACAAATACACACACACACACAAATCCCAGGATGTCCCACATTTCCAATAGTTTCTGGGTTTTCGTCTTCCCCCCCACTTCCCATATGTTCCCATAGTTTCTGGGTGTTCGTCTCCCCCCCCACTTCCCATATTTTCCTCTGTCTTCCTGGGAGTCGACGACTACTTGGGCCTGTGTGTGACTCGTTTCCCTCCTGGAAGAGCGCCTTTCCAGAGGCGCCCGGGAAGGCCGGGGAAGCGAGAGGGGCCGAGCCGACGGGGACAAAGGCAAAGGGGGTCACCATTAAGTCGGGCGTGTCTCCCCACAGGGGGATTTTCGACGAAAACTAAAAAATATTCAAAAACAGATTCAAAGCTTGTCATAAAAATACTCAGAATCAAAAAATAATCCCAATACTTTTTAAAATAAAATGTTTGAATATTCCTCCTGTAGAGAGACGGGCCCGACTTAAGGCCACCACCATTCGGCGGTGGACAAACCTCTCTTTCCTAAACCTCCACTTCAAAAAACGGGCTGGGACCGAAATCGGCGGACCTGGACCCGCAAAAATGACGGCCGCGACTCCCTCTCGCGAGCCGAAAACGGCCAATACCTTAATCGACGTGTCAGGGTGGAGGCCTATCCACCGAGCCAGGACGGCAGGAATCGCGGTGGCCGCGGATGGAGCCGTGAGTTGGATGCGAGAGAACAGCCGCACCGGGGGCGCGCAAATATAGGAAAACGAGCTCTATACACCCTCCTCCTCCTCCTCCTCCTCCTCCTCCTCCACCTCCTCGTCCTCGTCCTCGTCCTCTCCCCTCTGATTCCTGCTCCTCCTCCTCCTCCTCCTCCTCCTCCTCCTCCTCCTCCTCCTCCTCCTCCTCCTCCTCCTCCTCCTCCTCCCTTCTGGCCCTGCACTGACACTTGCACGGGAAGGCGGATCCTGGTGTATGCGGGATCCTGGTGTATACATGTTTCGTTGTTTTCCCAGGAACCGGGAACAAAAATAGACACCACACCACGCCGACATCGCCCCCGACCCTCAAGAAATCCTGGGATTGAACAACAAGCCGGCACTGGTAGCGTATACGTCCCAGTTTCCGAAAATCTGCATCAGCGGTCCATGGATGTGGCGCGCGGTCGCCAAATCCATGGATCGGGGGAGGTGCCCTCCCCAGAATGCGGCCGGTGCCGCCTCGCTCGGCGGCGGAGGTCCGCGCCCCCATTGATCCACGTCTGTGATCGCCTGACCTCGGCCAGCGTCAATTCGTGGATCCGCCTCGCGAGCCGGCCGCGGCCGACACGGACCATGGTGCAGCGAAGAGGGCAGCGCCGAGCGGCCGCCCATAGCGGCGAGACGTTGATGAGCGCCCATGAGCGCCCCGTCGCTCATCCGCGCCCCCCTTGTGTCCAGCTGGAGCCTGGCAGATCGTGGGGCTCTCGCAGGTCGGCGCGCAAGCGCCTGCAGGAGTCGCAGCCAAGAGGAGCCTGGACTCCTGGCTCGAGGCCGCTGCGTGCCACGCGGAGAAGCACGTCGTTACCGCAGGCCGCCGCTGTGTGGCGTGCTCGAAGCCCGCCGCGAGGCATCGCCCACGCCGGCGTCAGCCGCAGCCGTTGCGGTGGACCTCGCGCGTGCCGCCAGGAGGCCCGAGCCCGCGGTGCGTGCGTCCAGAGCTCTCGAGCTCCTGCGCGGGAGGCGCCGACACGGGCCCCTCCGGCTGGCAGCCCCACGGCGGCCGCCGCACGCACGCCGCCACGATCGCGCGGGTCTCGCCGCGGGGCGCCGCGGGGACGTCGCAGCGCAGCCTCGCCGCGGCGCCGCAGCCCGCCGACGACGCTGCGATGGTGCACCCTGATGCTGTTCCGCAAGTTGGGCAAAAGAGCGGCTCTCCCCCTCCTCCCCCGGCCCCAAGGGTCCCCCAGTCGCCCCCGATGTGCTGGGCAGCAAGACAAACCAGAAGAACACCTTCACCACCTGGTGGAACAACTACGCCGCGCCTCGCACTGCGGCAACTCAACTGGCTCCTCCGGCGTCCGCCTTCTCTCCTCTTCCTCGCGCTCTTCGCCATCCTCGTCCTGCCCGTCGCCCGCGCCGCCTTCGTCCTGAAATCGCCCTCCTCCTCCTTCTCCTCCTCATCTTCTTCCTCTTCCTGTTGTAGCTGCTGCTGCTGCTGCTCCTCCTGCTCCCCTCCTCCTTCTCCTCCTCCTCCTCCTCCTCCTCCTCCTCCTCCTCCTCTGCCTCTTCCTCCTGCTTCTCCTTCCCGTCTGTCTCCCCCCCCTCACTACTCCTCATCGCCCTCCCTCGCTTCTCTGGGGCGACAAATTTACCGACACCTCCACCCCCAAGGCTCTCCCGAGGTGCGTTCTGCCCAAGATTCGGAGGAGAATCCAGCCGTGGTGACGAGGGCATCTCAGCATGCCCAAACAGGCGAGAACGAGACCAGGGTAGCGGCGCCGGTGCCTTTTCATCCTCCGCTCCTCGCGGTCGGCCCCGCGGCGGTCCGTGAAGAGCGGAGGGCACGCGTGCGACTGGCGCCGACAGGGGGGAGGGACAGGGAGGGATGGAGGAATTCCTCCTCCTCCTCCTACTCCTCCTCGTACCCCCCCTCCCCTTCCCTCCTCCTCCTGCCTCCCTCCCTCCTCCTCTCCTCCTCCTTCCACCTCCTCCTCCCCCTCCTCCCCCCTCCTCCTCCTCCTCCGCTCTCCTCCTCCTCTCTCCTCCTTCTGCCTCCACCCCCCTCCCCCTCCTCCCCCCTCCTCCTCCTCCTCCCTCCTCCTCCTCCTCCTCCTCCTCCTCCTCCTCATCCTCCTCCTCTCCCGTCTCCTGCATCCCTCCTCACCTGTCTCCCCCCCCTTCCTCATGGCCTCGCCTCCTCCTCCTCCTCCTCGCCTCCTCCTCCTCCTCCTCCTCCTCCCTCCTTCCATCTCCTTCCTCCTCCCTCCTCCTCCCTCCTCCCTGCTCCCCTCCTCCCTCCTCCCTGCTCCCCTCCCTCCTCCCTCCTCCCGCGCGGGCCGCCCGTCGGCGCGCGCGGCGGCAGGGCGTCGGGCCGTTCGGCGTCGGCTTCTGGGCGCTGGCGCCGTCGCCGCCCGCCTGAGCGGCCACGCGCGGCCGGCCACGCGCCGCCGGCGTCGTCGTCGCCGGCCACTGTAAAACAGGGCTTATAGGTATGCTACGTGCGGCCGCGCGTATGGCAGGGCCCTAGAGCCTCCTCGGATGCGGCCTTGGCGGCAATTTTGAAGCCTCTTGGGCCTCCCAGGAGCCTGCTCAAAACAGGGCTAGGATCGGGATAAATCGCTCCAGAGCGTTCCGGAGCGCTCTCAGAGCGTTCCGGAAGGCTCTGGAGCGGCCGCGGCGCCCAACACATCCTCCAAACCCGCCGATTCTCAGAGATTTCGAGTTATCCCGATCCGATTTTGTCCCGATCTTCGTGTCGTTTTACACTGCCATCCAGGAGCCCCAGAGATGAAGATGCGCCCTCCGAGCGGCCGCCGCGCGCATCGCCGACCAGGAAGAGGCCTCGGCACGGCGGCTTACTCTGGAGGGGTTGGACAGCTCCGCTGTGTGGGCGGAGCCCACCCAGCCCGGACCGCCCGATCCCCTGAACCACTTGGGGCATGCGGCATGGGGGCGCCATGTGGCATGTCTCACCCACTTGTGGGCTAGGTTAGGCCACATGGACGTGACGCACCTTGGCATCCCCTGAGCACCGACATATCCCTTGAGCAACGACCCCTCCGCTCCAAGCGAATGGGGGGACCCGCAGCGTCTCGCCGACCACGATCGGCGGCGAGCGAGGAGGGGAAGTAAGAAGGGAAACGCATTTTCAGAAGCTGTTCTCAGGAGCCCACCGGCCTTCTGAAAAATGTTCCGTTTGACCGACCTTCCCGGCATTGCTTAGGCCTACCACGAAATATTCTTAGAACCCCCAAAACGATCTAATAACGAAAACGATGTTCTTGTACAAATAGACCCGATGTGCTAAAATCCGCCGGCCCTCTTGTGGGGCCACCAGGCTGTAGGGCTAAGCTTCGCAGTTCCCTGTGCCAGCTGCTGCTTCCAGTTTCCGCTGTTACAAATCTGCTTGTTGCTGCTTACTGTTCCTTGTTGACTTCTTGCTGCTTACTGTTCCTCGTTGATGGGCCGCGCGAGGCGGGAGGCCCAAAACTAAGTTTTTGGTTTCAAGCCCAGGGAGGGCTCTCAGAATTGAGGGGGGGGAAGATGACCCCATCACGCAAATCGGCGGGGTCAGGGTCCAACAACACAGGGGGATTTGCCACATTTCGGACATTCGGTGGCGCCCCTCGCGCAAATCGGCGGGGTCAGGGTCCAAAAACACACTGGATGTGCAACATTTCTGACATTCGGTGACACCCCTGGGTCAACAAAAACACAAGGGATTTGCCATCTGTTTGAAATTTGCTAGCGCAGCTCACGCAGATCGGCGGGGTCAGGATTCACAAACACACGGGATTTGCTACATGTCTGACATTCGGTGGGACCCTTCACGCAGATTGGGTGCAAAAGTACAATGGATTTGCAACACTTCTGAAATTCGCTGGCACCCCATCACGCAGATCGGCGGGGCCAGGGTCCACAAACACAGGGGATGTGCTACATGTCTGAAATTCGGTGGCACCCCTGAAACAGATTGGCGGGGTCAGGGTCCAACAACACAAGGGGTTTGCCACACTTCTGAAATCCGGCGGCAGCCCTCACGCATATCGGCAGGGTCACGACGTCTTACATATCGCCACGTGTGGTAACCCCTCTGGTCATCTATTGGTTTTGCTCATTACGAGCCGGCCTCGCGTGAAGTTCCGATGCTGTTTCACGACAGCGCCCAGGCCTCATGACATAGCTCTTGCATAGCGCATTATCCGATAGAGGGGGCCGGCGGCAGGGGGCGAAACCCTGACAAATAAATCAGACTCGGCCAAAATTGTTCGAAGAACATTTCACGCAGACCACAACAGGTTATCATAACATCCTTTGGTCGGCTTACAAGCGAACCAGGACGCTGCGCCACTCCTTGGCCCGCGTTTTGGCGAGGAAGGCTTAGACAGAGGCCTGGTAAGGGCGCCGCCTTCGCGCGGCACCAGCGTTAAACGAACAGTTTTTGCGGCGGCAGCCGTGTTGCCAGGGTGTCCCGCTGCAGGGGTCGTTCGGCCGTCCGCGCCAGGGCGCCCAGCTCCACAACAGAAAACGCTCTGGCATGCAGTCGCCGATATTTTTGCCGGGCCCTGCGTCGAAAACAAGGAAAACCCCTTTGTCTCGACTCTCTTGGTTTCTGACTGGCCGCCCCCCAGACGAGGCGCGCGAAGCGCGGCGGCCTCGGCCGCGGGCGCCGCCGCGGCAGGCGCCTCGGCCGCTTGGGGCGCCGCCGCGGGCGAGGGCGCCGCGGCCGGCGCGGGCGGCGGCACAGCCGCGGGCGCCTGCCGCGGGTGCCCGACGACGACGACAACGACGACGACGACGAGGACGACGACGAGGACGACGACGACGACGACGACCACGACCACGACGACGACGACGACGACGACGACAACGATGACGGCGGCGGCGGCGGTGGCGGCGGAGGCGACGACGACGACGACGACGACGACGACGACGACGACGACGACGACGACGGCGGCGGCGGCGACGACGACGACGACGACGGACGAGGACAGACGACGAAGACGACGACGACGACGACGACGACGACGACGACGACGACGACGGTGGCGGCGGTGGCGGCGGCCAGGATGAGGACGACAACGACGACGAGGACGGCGAGGACGGCGACGACGACGACGACGATGCGCCTTGTTTGAAAACCGCCGTTTCTCCTCCCGTCGGCCTGCCTGGAGATTCTGGCGCTGGGCGTGGGGCCCAGATCTCCGACGATGTGCTTCGAGGGGCCAGTACTTACCAGCCTGGAACATATCCCTATCCCTATACTGGGCACCTCCTCATTACGATGCCAATCTTAGGGATTCCCAAATTTTTTGAGGGCGAATCCCTAAGATTGTCATCGCCTTTTGGCGTGTCAATCTCAGGGATAGGGATACGTTCGAGGCTGGTCAAATACCTGCACGAGCACAAACTTCTTCGGGAGGTCCGCGAGGACTTCTCGGATCTGCGCCGGAGCCACCTGGCGGCGCCTCCGGCGCCGCCAATGGCGCGCTCCGCGCGGCAGGGAGTGGGCTCCAGCGCCGATCCGCGTCCGCGCGGACCTCCGAAAGCTCATGTGTGTGTGTGTCATTGTTTGTTCCCAGCGGCTCTATCCTTATGTCATTCTTGCGTGCTGCTGTGCATGTCGTCATGCAGGCTGGACTGGCGGCCTCTCCCCTGTCCGTCTCCCGCTCGGGAACGGAAGCTGGGTCCCGCAGAAGTCCGAGGAGCTCGCGGCCGCGAGGCTGGATTCGGCCGAGTCTCGATTCGGCGGGCTCGACTCGCCCAGCTCGATTCGCCCTGGGCTCGATTCGCCCTGGGCTCGATTCGCCCTGGGCTCGATTCGCCCTGGGCTCGATTCGCCCTGGGCTCGATTCGCCCTGGGCTCGATTCGCCCGTCTTGATTTGCCCAGGCTCACTTCGCCCGAGTCTGGACTCGCCTGGCTCGGTTCGCCCGGCTCGATTCGCCCAATGCAATTCGCCCGGGCTTGCTTCGCCCGGGCTCGGGCTCGGTCCGCCTATAGCTTGATTCGCCCGGCCCCGGCCCTCGACGCAGGGCCGACAGACCCGACCCGCCCGTTAGGCTTCGCACGTGCTGCCTCGATGACGCATCATAATCTAATGTCCTGGCCGTCGCTCGGACGTCCATTCCCTGTGTTTTTTGTTCGGTTTCGTGCGTGTTTTTTTCGCCAAATGATCAAGAATGCTCCTCGATGGTCCTCGCCGAAGGAAAAATGCACACGTCCGAGCGATGCCAAGCGTCCCACCCGACCCGACCCGCCCCTCGAACCAGACCCTCCCCAATAGCCGGGGATCCTGAGACCCGGGTCAATCCAGACCCGGGCCAGTCAGGCCCTGCAGACTCCTACAAGATCCTGCATCCAAATCCGGGTCAGCGCGAAGGATCCTGCAAAATCCTGCAGGATCCTGCACCCAAACCCGGGTCAGTGCCACCCTGGCCCTGCAAGATCCTGCAAAATCGGGCGCTCTGGCCGACCCCCGTTTATTGGACGCCCGAAATGGGTACGTAAAAAATGAATACAATGCCCAGCAACAAATGTTGTCCCAAACCAATAGCGGCCGTGGTTGGGCAGGCGGCCTTCTGCCTCAAATACAACAGGCCGCGGCGGCGCGGACAGCGAGTCCTGCTCAAATGAACAAGGACCGCTGTTGGGCATTGTACCCCTCTCTCCGTACCCATTTCGCTCGTGCCGACGTTTGCGTTGACCCCCGACCCGATGCTCCCGAGCTAGTGGAGGGCCCGCCCGCCAGGCGAAGCGAGCCCCGTCGAACTCGAAGCCCCGGCGCCATGAGCCCCGGCGGGCCTCGCGCGCGGCGAAGCGCGCCCCTGGCCACCGAGCCCCGGCGAACCGCTCCGGGCGGGCGAACCGAGCCCCGGCGAACCGAGCTGGGCGAGTCGAGTCGGGCGAGCCAGGCCTTAGGTCGGGCACGGCCCCCTATACGAGGGGATGTTGGACCAAAATGCCCCCTAAGAGTCAAACAAAAAAACCGTCCCCGTACTACTACTCCTCCTGTATACGGGCCCGACTGAAACCAGGCCGCGGCGAACAGAGCCCCGGCGAGCCGAGCACGGGTGAGCCGAGACTCCGGCGAACCGAGTCCGTGCCACCGCGCGGACGTGGGGGCGCACCGAAACGCGCTGCGGCGGCAGGAGATGTCAGGGAGGAGGACAGAGGACGGGGACATGAGGAGGGAGATGGAGTATAAAAGAGAGGTGAGACGGAGAAGAAAAGGAGGGAGGAGGTCGCATGAGATCTCCAGAAGTCTTCTAGGGTGCGCGGAGGCTCGCCTGATGATGCATTACACAATATGCATTACACAAAAAACTTGATCCTCGCCCCTTGATTCGCCTGCTGCACCATACATAGAACCCGCTCCAAGCATGCGACGTCGTGATTGTGTGGCACGGTCCCTCG